ACTGAGAAGGCATAATTTCAATGAGCATTTCAGATATTACTGCATATTACTTTTAAACTTTTTTTTAACAGCTCACACTTACACCTAATCATCTATAGAAGGGGAAATAGATGCTGGAAGAAGTGCTCAAAGTAGTCTATATTCCTCTTAAACAGTGTAAAGCAAAATGGGAGTCCACAGCCCCTGTTTACTTATATCAGATGTCTAATATCATATAGTCTTCATATTCTATACATCTGTCTGTCCACCAAGCTGTTTTTCATGAGACTGAGTACTGACTGGCTTCTAGCTGGGGCAAGAAATGAGCTTGAAATGCTATTTGGATATTGAATTGAAGACCATGAATGTGCAGATGCAGTTGAATACTCTCAGTTGCCTAGCTTGGGTACTGGTAAGTAGTATGGCTATGATGATGCAGCATTTTTAAAAAGCCAGGTAGCCCAGCTGAAAAACTAGTTCTACCAGTCTCAACAGAAAATACACTGTTTTGCTCCCTATGGCTTTAGCTTCCTATTTCGTACTAGAGTTTAAGAACCAGTGAGACAGAGTAGATGGAAACATGGAGCAGAGTAACCTCACTTATGAGGTCTTACCTTAGTTGCTGCACGTCCATCAAGTTTGACAAGGAAAACCATATTCACTTTGTGCTCTTACATTTATCAGTCTTTGGAGAAGACAGTGCTGAACTTGTCCTTTTTGCCCAATGTGCTGCCCAGTGTGCTCCAGTGCTGCCCAATTTGTCCTTTCAAGGTAGTGAAGTTTGAAATAGTTTGGTTCACTTTTTCTCAGATAGTCACCGGACATACTACAGTGGCTGTTATGCAGAAACAAGTGATTTTTTTTTTTTAATTATTATTATTTTTTGTTGCATTGCTCAGAGGCCTTATAGAACTCTTCTGATTATTTCCAAATCGTTGTTGGGGAACTACCGTCAAAATAGCTGGCCCGTATTAAATCAGTTTGAAATGGCAGTGAAAGGACAACATAGTAAATTTTTACACTCTTTATAATTGTGAGGTTTCTTCATCCTTCTGAGGTGCACCTCTTGGCTACTGTAAACTGGTAGCAGAATTCTGACTTCCTAATTTGACTTGTGTAATATTGATGAAAATGATTCTGACTCCCAGTTTCAAAGCAGGTTTAAAGATCAACTTCAGAGCTTCAAGCAGTAGGTGTCAGTCAAGAAATTATGTGTGAAGGAAAGTAAGAAGCTTTGAGGACTGACTTACTACAAGGAATACCTGTTAATTACATAATCTGATTTAGTTGTGGAGTTCTTCTTTAATATCTTATTTCATCTACCTCGATGACCCTTTATGTGTAGCTCACATGGAAAGGTGTGACAGTGTAGCTACTGTGAATTCTCAAGGCTGAACTGTAAGGAAAACACTGCTGTTTTTGTGTGGAGAGACTGATGGCTATTATATAGGAGTTACTTACAAAAGCCATCTTGCTGTGGTGTATCTTCCAAAATAATCTGGCCATAAATATTTTGATAAATTTTTTCACGTATGAGCACAGTTCAGATAGTAATGTTCTGATACAACCTGGCGTTGTATATTTCCCTGTGCCTGTATAAAGCTTAACTTAAAATTCACAAGTGATAGCACAGTGTACTGAGGCATGTAGTGCTGGTACAGATGTCAAAGTTTGCTTCTACTTGTGGGTTTGTTGACTACACCAAAAATTTAATAAAGCACAGCAAAGAGAAACTTCTTGTAATCACCCAATCACCTAAGCAAATACTTTGTACAGGACAGTTTACCAATTTTTATCACCTGCTAAATGTTTTTCTGCAGATTTGGTGTTGGTCTTGCCATAATGGTGCTGCTCTTCTCAAAATGTCTGCATTTCCCAAAGAACAGGATGACAGCACTTCACAAATGCAAAAAGCCTTCTTGGATGGGTCAGTAATAGCTATTCTGTCCACAACACTTTGCTTGGTATGGACCTTGCTTCTCTTTTTCCATATATGCTATATCTTTAAGCTTGTATGCATCAGGAAACAAATTCTAGATCTAAAAGTAGTTTTTCTGTAGTGGAATTGGTTTAAGCCCTCGGCCTAACAGTATCAGTCAGTTGTGCAGGACTGTAACATCACTGAAGGCTTATTTGCAGAAATACAGATATATTGGATGTATATCTGTATGAACTGGCTTGTTTTTAGGTAAAGCAGCACCGAAGCCTGAAGATCTTAAAGTATCATTAGCTGATGGGCTCAATTGTGTTTGCAAGTAAGTGAAGTCTAGACTCCATCTCTAAACATTAATTTGCAAGCCAGGTTTTAAATCTCTCTAAACTCTACTGTCTTCTCAGAAATAGATATGTATTCTTAAATGACTTTCCCTGAAGTTACCTGAAATGACTGAGAGAATCTAGCAGTTCACTACTGCTACTTTCAGATACAATGGCCGACAGCACTCTTCTTCAGCTGAGTTAGTGAGCTGAATTAGCTCAGCAGTCTGAAAAATGCCACAGTTAACATAAGGGGGAGAGCACAGCTGCCTGGCTGACAGTTATGGCAATGACTTATTGCTCTTTTTTTCTGACTTTTTTTAACCTGTTAGGTGTCCTGGAGAGAGCTTCTCTTTTAGCAGTAAGCCGTTAGATCAGGCTAGTATGTACTGTTTGTACTGTTTCACTGCTAGCTCCTTTCTCCTCATAGGTGGAGAATCTGGTATTCACACAGAATTAGCAGGAGATAACTTGATAAGGCTCTTAAAACCTCTTTTGTTTTTCAAATTAATTATGCTTGCATGGGAAAGGCTTTTGACCCTTCCTGCAGCTCCTCTAAAGTTTCTCCTCTGGAATGGGGAAGTTTATATGACTTACAACTCTTTGTAATGCTGTTTCATACTGTGAAAGTTAAGTAAAACTAGCACTAAGCTGTAACAATTTTGATCTCTTATCTGTGGCCGTCTGGACTTGGGGCAGTATTGGTGGTTTGCTTTGCTATGGAGAACTTGTGGTTAACCACTAATATTTAAAAATATATCTACAAATTTTCCATAAGGGTGTAGTAAATGCCATTGTAATAGTAGTCTGAAAGCAAGCACATAGCAGATGTTTACAATTAACAGCTTCTTGTATTGAAAAAGTTGTTTAGAGCCAGATCTTCTAGCACAAATTGTTTGCTTCCATTTGGAAGAAGCGTTGTAACTGATAAGAGATCGGAGGGAACACAGTCATTTATCTGGTGCATCTTCCAGTAGGTCTACTAACCTGCATTTCTGATGTGGACCCCTGTAGTTCTCACTGAAAGCAGGCTTCTGTGCTATGACATACAGGAAACAAAGTATTCTGTCCTGTCTGGGCAAGTGCCTGCAAGGCTTCACTCCTCAAGTATGAGCTAGAGCAGCTTTTCCCAAATCTTGACAATAAAAAGCCAGCATGACAACAGAGGTATTTACCAAGCTGATGTTCATCTGACCTCTGGAACCTGTCTCCTCTGGATGAGAGGAGACATTCTGGATCCAAACCAAAGTTTCATCTGGCCTGATATTTTTTTCCTCTCCTCCTAGGGGAAAAAATAGCAGATATGTAGGGAAGTACAAGGCAGACTGACTGTCTTGTTTGAGTCCAAATAGTTTCTTCTTTCTTTTACTCGTGTGTTTCATTAGCAGACCTGGCACCTAGGTAATCAGAATGTAATTTGGCTGGTAAAAGTCAAGAAAAGTGGTATCACCTGGGAGGCTTGTGTGTTTCTGTCTGTCTTTTTCTGGATTCATCTCTATATAGCCTACTAGTGGAGTGAAGAAAAGACTAAAGAAGCAGTAGTAAAAATCAAGTAATGCTTGCAAATTTGTAACTGCACAAATATAATTTTATTGGTGTAATGGTTAAGAGCAGCAAAACTTGTCATAAGCTTGTAGGCAAGCTTTCAGCCAGTATTTAAAAATGCATGGAGGCTATTAGCTTTCCAGGGTGTATATCTTTTCATCTTACAGCTGTTTCCCAAACCATGCCTGTTAACTTTGTCTTCAGAGATAATATTTGGTGCATTATTTGACTTCTGAAGCAGAAGGCTTTAATCTCTTTGATTTGATTTAGAATCTATAAGACAATTAGCAAACCTCCCTATGAACTCCTGAAGACAGATGACTTGTCAAGCAGCCTTCCATCTCTGCAAGATATCCAGACTGCATACACAAGATTTAAACAGCTGTTTTTGATAGGTAAGTGAAACTTCAGTCTTTTTGTCTCTAAAGTGACTGAGATGCAAAGCATGACAGTGCTGTTTTATGTCTTATGAATGCAATCCTTGTCTTGCTTTTGACAGTGGTTGAAAGCAGACTTTTAAATATGCAATTGAAGACTGTGCTTAAGACTGGTGTGTTAATGGAGATTTGTAGTTCTTAGACTTACTACTTCTTGCCAAGCAGTCACAGTATCTGAAAATGACTTTTAAACGAGAGGGACTGGAGTTTGAATATTAGTGGATTTAAATTTATGGGAGAGATTTTTTCAATTTTCTGTGATCCATTGAAATTGAATGTTAAGTGTTAACCTTTTAAGCCTTTGTGCTATGTCAAGAGTTGAGTTTAAATGCTAATGAATTTTTTCCTTAGTTTTTGTTACAAACTAGCCACATCTCAGAACATACTAAGCGTAAGCTTGCTTAAAAGTCTGTCATGACTTCTGTAAATAGCAAGTCCACTTGAAAGGAGTAAAAATGAGAGCCATGTGAAAGTATAATCTAGGCTTCCAGACTTTTTTCTGGGACTCTTTAACTGTTTTGCTGTCATGAAACAGTACTTTGACATCAACTCTTGGCATGAAAAGAGCTCCACACCACCTTGCACCTGTGCAGTGTGCCACTGGGCCATTTTGAACAGTGGGTCTTCTAGAAGATAATGAGGGTAGATGTTGCAAAAACTTCTGTCTGGTGGTATGCTGAACGCTGGGGCAGTTCACCTGTTGCTGTTGATGTTGGACATAACTGAACTGATCATCACTGGGGAACTGCATATTTGCAGTGTATCCTGCAGACAGTATCCAAATCCTATTGGTTTTATACATGGCATTTTGCTGCCAAGTTGATACTGATTGCAAATAGTATGAGTGGTGTCTGGTAAATATGTAGTAAAGATTTTAGTGACACTCTGAAGAGAAGTCTAAGATACATAAGAGAGAGTTTCATACTGAGGATTTTGTCCGGAATACACAGTCAAATCCATGGTGAATCTTAGAACCTAAAAATAGTTACCTGTATTTTAATGTAGTTTCTGGTAACTTACCCTCCTATAGGAAAAAGGCCAGATCTTGAATTTTAGTAATTTAACATCTTTCAGGAAATACTGCATATTTCAATGGTGTAATTGTGTCATTGTCTTATATTACTTGAGGCAAAAGGGAATATGTTAAAACTGTATTCCAGTAAGCGTTTTTGTCTTACATCTTTTTAAATAAGCTTTGCTAATAGACTATAACTCACTGAATGTAGCATAATGCACTAGCAGTCTGAGGAGAACCATTCAGGTAACTTGTTGCGGAATTATTGCTGTAGATGAAGGCCTGTCTTTTTTACAGGAAAAAAAGACAGAAATGTATTTTCCCTGGTATCATGGGTTTTGGGTGGTTTTGAAGGACTAGAAATTGGTACTATAATTTTACCTTAATTCAGAATGGACAGACATTTTTCAAATAGTGATGGCAGGCTAAATGGAACATGAGATTTGGGTGCAAGGGAATATTCTAAAATTCAGATGGAAAGAGGGTGAACTGGAGAGTAAAGGGTGTCTTACTTGAAGTATTGTAATTAAATTGTGTCATACTTAAAGGTTGGAAGTGAATATGAAGATGTTAATGAGAAAAAAAACGGAGAAAACTACATCTAATGTGAACAGAACTTAACTAGGGAACTTTGAAGATGCATTCTAATGCTTTATTTTGTGGAGAACTAGTTTCTATGGCCAGGGTGAAATGAATCAGGGAAAGAAAGATTTTTTTTTAAAAAATTTTTTTTTTTTTTTTAAATGTGTAATGAACAGAATGAGGGGCGTGAGCAGGCATGGAGGCAGAACAGCTACAGGAACAAAATAGATTAATGCCTGTGCACTTGAGAATCATAGATGCAAGCTGCAAAAAACAAGACAGAAGTGAGTATGTGTTGAAAGTGAACATTGGAAGCGAATGGAGAGACTTTGGGAAGTGAAAAGAAGTTGTACAGAAACATGTAGAACTGAAGCTACTGGGGAGAGAATAGGGAAGGAAGGAAGTGTGGTGCTATCTCCGTTGTTTCTCGATAGTAGAACTGTTGTAGATCTTAGGCTTCAAGGTTTGTGCCTTACGTGGGAAAGGTGATTTATTCAGGTTTTAATTGACCATATCAGTTTGCGAGAGCTTTCTGATTTCTGAATACTGGTTTGATAGAAATAAAAGCAACAGAGATTTAGGTTGTGTTTAATGAGCTACAAAAATTCTAGTGAAATTAATGAGTTTAATAAACCACATAAACCACAGTTTAATGACTGTGGTATTGTACTTAGCCTCCTGGTTTATCTTAGCTGTTCCCTTTTTGATGTATTTTAATGCCCCTTCAGTTGCAGTTAAAATGGTTTAAAACCTTTTTTCAGGTAGTCTTACATCCCATAAATTAGTGTAAGCCCGTTCTAAAACCTATTAGTGTTTTTGGCTCTAACAGTAATGACTTTCAAAATCTAGCCTCCTTATGTTAAGCTTTATATAGATCTTGCTTTAGAGTCAAGTTGGAAGAACTAGCTCTGATTAAAATTCTTTTCTTTTCCTTCCCATTTTGTCAACAGATTTACTTACTTGGTTTGTTTGCTGTGATCCTACAGCATACTTTTTTCTAGAAACCTGTGGTGCTATAAAATATGACTGGTATTTGTAGGACTATTTCACTTCCTCATTTAGTTAGTGTTGACTTTAACAGTGATTAGGATTTACTAACTCATTAGTATTGGTTGTTTTATAACAGTTCATAACTGAAGAGTAGTACAGTGGATGGCTGTTAAGTAGCCTTCTGTATATACAAATAAACCAATTTTTGTTTTGTTTTGTTCTTTGCAGATAACAGTACAGATTTCTGGGTAACTGATGTGAAATGGTTTTCATTACTGGAAAGCACAAACTGGCTAGAGATAATCAGGTTTGCTATATCTGTAACTGTATCTGTTTCAAATTGTTGTTAAGTATATTTGTAATGAGTTTTCTAGATAGTTTCTTGAAATATGACGACATTCTTCACCTCCAGTAGGAATGAAAATTCAGAGAAACTTATAGTTCCATTTATATATCTTATTTCTACAACTTGAGACAGTATTTTTACAGTGCAGGTTTGTATTAAGCCACACACAGTAAAGGATGTGAGAAGCAGCAGATCATTCCAATTACAACTCTTCCAGGAAACCTGTTAAAACTATAGATCCAGTCATTTCCCCCCTGCACTTAGTCACCTTCTTTCCAAACTGAAGAATCCTGTTTGTTTCTTGCATGAAACTATTCCGTGTCTCTGACTAGCCTTGCCCTTCTTCTCTGTACTCTCTACTTCTGTAATATCCTTTAGGACGGCATGAACTGCAGTATTCAAGATGTTAGCCCACCAAAGATTTATAAAATGACAGTTGTTCTCAGTTTTGTCCCCTTCCTTTCCTGATTGTTCCTCAAGTTCTTTTTTCTTCTCTCAGCTGTCCACAGTGAGTAAGTGTTGGAATGGTGTTGGCTAACTTGAGGCTTGTTACAGTGCAATGTTGAGGGTGTTTATTTGTTTTCAGCTCTGCTGTCTGCCAGTTTGTTCTGTGGTCAGTTTGTTAACATGAAGTGCTTCTGCAGTCTTCTGCAGTCAGCTACAGTTCTTTCTGGTCTTAATAACAGTCAATAAATATTGATAGTTACTAATTTCTTAATGCAGAATTTAAACGTGTGTTGAATGACAGGTTCTAGTAGAGATCATATGTTGTGAAATGCATTGACATAACCAAGACTACAAATAGTTTCAAGTAAATGCCAGCCCAAGTTCTTATCCATGTGTTGTTTTGAGGCTGGTCATTTCCATACTTGGATCCAGTTGCTTCCTGGATCAGCCTGTTCTTGGCTCTTGCAGTTAACAGGAAGGCCTTTTCAGCTATTCTAGACGTTAGAACAAAGAATCTGACAACTCCACACTTACGAAATAAACTGTCAGCTTCTATTAGTGACCTAAACAGTTGCAAGAATCCCAATTTGCGTGCAAACTTTTGCAGAAAATAACTAATGTTATGAAAAGTTAGGTCAAGAAACAAACAGCGTTACATCTGGTTTTATGTGATCTTTAATTCTACTCAGTCTTCCTTCTGTAGTGATAATCTCTGGATAAATTTTGTCTGCATGTTTACAAGATCTGGTTGCTGATCCTTCCCTCTGCTTCTTAAAACCAGATTATGGGAGAAATGTAACATGTAGTATATTAGAACATAAGTGTGGTGATGTTGACTCTTTTCAGGATAAAGATTGGCACTTAGCAATTATAATACTTTAACGTGTGTGTGTAACGGCTGCTATTGATCCAGAATGAAGTATTGTATTACAGATACACAAAGATAACAACTGGAAGTGCGTGACCAATGGCCAAATAAAGATACCTCTTGAAATTTCACTCTTGAGGCTAAACAGTTCTTCATTTATACAAGTTGAGCATTGTTTTTGTTGTTTTAAAGGATTAGTCAAGTTTCAGTAGTATGACATTCTGACCCCTTTTAGGGGAAACTAATGTAAGAAACTTAATTGTAAAAATGCTGCGAAAATGTTCACTTATCTTTTCCTGTACCACAACAGGCGAGTCTTGAAGAAAGCAATAGAGGTTGCTGAGTATCTGGAAAGACAACATACAAACGTTCTCCTTATAGGTAAGACTATAATGAGATTATCCTATATATTTTTTAAAAAATTTCTTTTTAATTTCTTTGGATGTAGCTTAAGCTGTAAGTTTATATTTATGGTAGAGACTGGTGAAATTCATAGAGTACTCAAAGTACCGGACACCTGAACATTTCACGCTCCTGGAAATGCTTCCTGTAGTTAAAAAAAACCCACAGTAAGCATAGTTCCAGGCTAAGAGAAATAAGCTGTGAATGAGAAATTGATGATAAATTGGCAGGAGAGTCGTGCTACTTCTTGTTTATGTATTCTTGTTTCCTTACTTATTTTATTAAAGGTCTCCTAGACTTCTTGCTGTTACTTTAAGGGCGTGGGAGGACACACCTACACAAAGAACAGGGAGCATGAAAACTTTCTAAAAGGACGTTTTTATGTTCTAGATACACACTGAATACTACCTAGTCTCTTTATTAAAAAGACATGAAAGAATACACTTATTGTACACATCTTGAGCAGTTTGTTTTCCTAGATTGAGTAAAGTAATCCCATGGAAAGCTAAATTTAATGTTAACCATTAAGCTATTTTTGGGTCATTAATTTAGTTGGATTTTTTCCACACACTGCCATTTGAGAAACCTAGCATGGGGAAGAGATGTTTCTAGAAGGCACCTGAAGGGTGAAGAACGCATGTTGCACTTCTTCATGAGGCAATTTCACACCTTGCGAAAAGATGCACGCAGGATAGAAAGAGTTAGGGCAGATAGCTGCTGTGGGGTAGCATAGAGTAGGAGGGACAGTATGTATGTTGTGGGACACTGAAGGGTGTAGGCATCAAAGTTATAGTAGTAAAAGCTTGGTTTTTGCAGATTTTATTGTCAGAGTATTATCCTAGCATGAGTGAAACCTTACCCTTTTATAAAGGGAAGTATTGGAAACGTGGGTTAACTTCTCTTACGCTAAAACACTTGCAAGAAATTGTGTGCTTCTCTGATCTTGAAATACAATTTTGTTTATGTGAAGCTAGCAATACTTTGCTTTCTTACCCAAAGTTTTAGGAATGACTTAGTAGACCATGTGGTTTTTCTTCTGTTCTGTAGAAGAGACCGCTACTGATCTGTGCTGTGTAATCTCTAGTCTGGTTCAAGTGATGATGGATTCCTACAGCAGAACAAAGTCAGGGTTTCAGAGCCTTATTCAAAAGGAGTGGGTAATTGGAGGACATGGCTTTTTGGATCGTTGTAACCACTTACATAAAAGTGACAAAGAGGAGGTATGTTTTGGGGGTTTTTTTGTTTGGTTGATTAGGTTTTTTTACTTTCCTTACTATTTACAAGTTTACTTGGCATAAGGAGGGATTTAGATGTCAGTCCAGAAGCTCCATTTACTCTTTTAATTTTATGTTTCATTTTATGGGTTGATGTTTTGTACAGTGTCACTATTTTTGCTGTTTAGAGTTCAGCAATATCTTTGTAACTAAAGAGAACAAATGGAAAGTTTTCAATTCAGTCCTGGAGTCTTTTGAAAGACATGTATATGTATCTCATGTCATTTTAAACTGTGTTAAATGATAGTGGTGTCCATAGAAATAACTCAAGTGAATTTCCTGTTCTTATCACATCTAGAGTGTAACTTTATACTGTATTACTAACTGTTGCAGTCTCACCTCTCCATCTCTGTTTATATTTTGGGAATAGGTCAGAATACTATACAGGATGGAAATCATAAGTGTAAACAGACTAGTTCTGATAAATAATTGCAATAAACTAGTTCTGCTTTGCCAGCTTTAAAAGGCTGCTGTCACAGTTTAACACCAGCTGGCAATTAAGCACCACACAGCTGCTTGTTCACTCCTGCCCACTGCCAGTGGGATGGGAAGGAGAATCAAGGGAAAAAAACCCACAAAAACTCATGGTTGAGATAAGAAAAGTTTAATAATAGAAGTAAAATAAATTATAATAATTGTAATCAAGAGGAAGATAACAAGCAGAGAAATAAAACCCAAGGTGGGGGGGGGAAGTGATGCACAATGCAATTATTCACCACCTGCTGACCAATGCTCAACTGGTCCCCAAGCAGTGATCACCCCCTACTAGCCAACTCCTCCCAGTTTATATGCGGAGCATGACATCCTGTGGTATGGAGTATCCTTTTGGATAGTTCGGGTCAGCTGTCCTGGACATGCTCTCTCCCAGCTTCTTGTGCACCTGCCTGCTTGCAGAGCATGGGAAGCTGAAAAATCCTTGACTTCAGGACTACTTTGCAACAACTAAAGCATCAGTGTGTTTATCAATTTTATTCTCATACTAAATCCAAAATACAGCACTGTACCAGCTACTAGGAAGAAAACCAACCCTGTCCCAGCCAAAACAGGACCGCTGCATAGCAACAACTTCCATAGCAAGTTAATATGTGCAAATTCAGGTTAGGAAGTGTTCATCTCATCTGTCAACAATGGCCAAAGGTAGCTCAGGTGATACTTCAGACTTCAGCTGATGCTCAGTAGTTCTGTAGTTAACCAGATTGCTTTCATTAAGCTTTGTATGTGGAGACACTGAATACTGTAAAATAAATAGTCTGCGTGAAGGAACATTTTTTTTTCTGAAACTGATGCAGTGTTTTCTCTACTCAGGCTCCTGTTTTTCTGCTTCTGCTAAATTGTGTTTGGCAGTTGGTACAACAGTATCCTCCAGCATTTGAGTTCACAGAAACTTACTTAACTGTCTTGTCAGACAGCCTCTATGTGCCTATTTTTAGCACTTTCTTCTTCAACTCGCAACATCAAAAAGACACTAATACGGTAAGGGTTTGTTACTTTGCGGATGCAATGTGTTGGAGAACAGGTTTGACCAACAAATGAGGGATACTCAAAAAAATAATTCCCTAGCAGCATGTTTTTGCATACTTATGTGAAGGGTGGTGCCGTGAAGGGTGAATGAGTGCAGCTTTGGGTGTCAGCAGTCAAGTTCAGGACTTAAGAGTTTATGATGACAAAAGGAAAATAACTCAGGAGTATGTTCTTTCTAATGTGTGGCTATGGGTTCATGATTATTGCTCTTCAGTGAAAATTGAGCTTCTTAACCTAAGAGGAATATCCTGCTGTCCTGCAGAATAAATGATCTACAAAATTCTTGTATAGTATTTTCTGTTGTATTTCAAAATCAACATTTCCTGAATGTTGGTTTACATTTTTGTTCACGCTTTTCTCTAGCCTAAGAAGGTGGAAGCAATGAGAGTACGCTCTGCAAGGCCTCAGAGAGTAAAAAAAAAAAAAAAAAAAAAGAAAAAAAATCAGTCTTTCATATAAATGAAGCATTGATCATAAAACTTAAAATGGTAGCACTGCATAACTGCAGTTAACTTTTGAAGTTCGGAGAAGTTTCTTCCATAATCCTAACCCCCTGCGTTTGAACAAGTCAAGTGTCTATCTCCTGTTCAATTTTCAAAACTTTTTTTTTTCCTCTCAGATTAAATAATCTTATTTTCACCCGGGAAAGGCATTCTTGGTGCTTTCTGATTTCACTGGTGGATTAAGCACTTTCTGAAGATACAGGGAAAAGTATATAGATAGCCTTTGTTTCTGTAGTGACTTGGATTTAATAATGTTGTTCAGCTATTGAATGCATAGAAATCATGAGTGGTGTTGCAATTCTGTGGCCTCTTCACAGAAGAGGCAGTTTCTTAATTTCACCTTGACTTGCTCAGAGCTCCTTTCCAGCAGTATTAATTGTGACCTGTTTGTTTTGGCAGAGTGGTGAAAGCCTCAAGACACAAAGCGGCCCTTTCAGATTTCTCACTGTGTGGGACTGGTCTGTGCAGTTTGACCCCAAGGCCCAGGCTTTCCTGAACAACCCTCTGTATGCAGAGAAGCCAAAACCAGATAAAAGTCAACGGAAAACTGCACGATTCAAAGTAAGATACGTGCTGCTTAACTACTCTTTTTAAATAATAAAAATATTTTGCACAACTCGTATTTCAGATATTCTTACAGTGGAAGTATTGGTGCAAGCTTTTTAATTGACAAAACACATGTACACCTCAGACTCACCTGGGTATTAAGAGTGCAATTTTCACCCACCTCAGTTGTAATTAACTGTATTACAGCTACTGCGTGTAGCTGTTAATTTAGGGGTATTTTCTTCATACTTTTTTGAAGAGTTAGTATATTTAATATTCACAGGTACCTTCCCTGCAGTCTAAGTATAGCAATGAAGTAATAGTGGTGATAACTCATGGGACTTAACATCCAGGTGAGTTGCACTGATGTGCTTGAAGTGAGTTAGTTTTGCTGTTCCATGGAGTATCTAACTGAAAAACATAGCAGGTTTATACTTGCTTCCCTAATTTTGTCTGAGTGTAATTAGAGTGTGTCTGTGTACCTTGGAGGGAGGGGAAGAGTGACCACCACCAACAAATGCAATGATTTGTGTAGCTAGCTTAAACTAAACGTGAAAGTCTGTAATACTTGAATGTACACAAAGCATTCTCCTTTTTCAAAGAAAAACATTTTTTTTCATTGTTCCTTCACGTCTATAGTTAGAGTGCAGGGAAGGTATCTGGGAATACCAAGTATGCTGTGTGAAGTATTTGGTGTATTAGCCATTGAAGAGTAACAGTTTTAGACTATCCAGCAAAGCAGTGACTGTGTTCAAGTGACTTCGTTGCTTGTATTTTCTGAATACAGGTTATGTTTTTCATCCTCTTAAGATGTTTTCCAAATTCCCATAAATATTTATCTCAGTATATTTTTCTTTTCTTTCCTCTTAAAGCATCAACGGCAACTTTCTTTGCCATTGACACAAACAAAATCTTCCACAAAGAGAGGATTTTTCAGAGAGGAAACAGATCATTTAATTAAAAACATTCTGGGTAAAAGAATTGGCAAGTTCATAAATTCTTCAGATGAACCTCCTAATAGCTTCAGGGAATTTTATGACAGCTGGCATAGTAAACCTGTTGACTATCACGGTCTTCTGTTACCTCGCATCGATGGCCCTGAAATCAAAGTCTGGGCACAACGGTATTTACGGTGGATTCCTGAGGCCCAGCTTCATGGTGGTGGTACAATAGCCACAGCTGCCAAGATTTTGGACTTGATGGAGGAAGTGCAAAGCTTGCAGGTGAAAATGGATGAACAACATAGTCAAGCTGTTTCTGGAGGTGTACATTCTGTTCCACTGCTGAGAAATTCTGCCCGTTTGTCATCCCTATTTCCATTTGCTTTGCTTCAGAGACAGTCTATCAAACCAGCTTTACCCACTAGCACCTGGAAAGATTTGGAAGATGAAGATGACTTGGTCAAGAGGGATGATGAATTTGTTGATCTAAGTGGTGATATGTCATAAAGTGTATATAAATTAAAGTATGACTTGTATGTGGCTAAGCTCTGAGTTTTAAATGTTGTGTTGTATCCTCATATAAAGAACTCACGCATCCAAGCCTCTGCAGCCTGTTAAATGGGTTTGTGGAGTTTAAAAAAAAAAATAATCAAAACAAACTTGGTTTAAAAGAACTAGTTGCCATAATTAACTGAGTATATTTTGAACTCCCATGTCACTCTAACAGTATTAATTGCAGAAACACGTTTTTAGCATAGGTGTAATAAAAACAGAAGTCGAGGCTGCAGTAGCCATATGGCCACTTTGCTTAAAAAAGAAACAACACAACCCCATTGTTTTCTGATGTAAAGGTGGAATACTGAATAGATACATACAGCAACACACACTATCTTAACATAAAACCTCTTCCCCTTATGCTAAGAGTACTAGCATTGAAAGTACTGTGACTACAAACTGAATACATCTGCATTTTCCCCTCATACAAAATAAACAGGGAAAGGTGCAGCTAAATCTGCATTCACAAATAAGCTTTTTAGAGCTGAGGAATAAAATTGTGGTTACCAGGGGATTTCTGTCTCTTGTGGCATCAACTGAAGTCATGTGCTCGTTAACATCATCTTTTCTGAGAGTGTTCAGTCTTTGGCTTGCAGCACTTCACCTTGTATGGCGTTACAATAGCAGCTTGGCTGCTTTAAGCCTGTGCACGCACTTAGCTGAAGGATCAGATGCAAGAGTTTAACTACACATTTCAAGTCTTACTGTGGCTGCTGTGTCCCTTGCTGCCTTGCAATATTAAGCCTCATATGTTTGCTGTTAGTTGTAAGAGATTCCAATTTGCAATGAGTATTTTTTTTCTCCTTTTAATAGAGTGAGACTTTCATTTTGCCTTTCCCCATTTATGCCAGTTGCCTTTGAGGCTTTCTGTAGCTTGCACTGAGACCCTCCAAGTAGAAGGGAAGACTTTTTCTGTAATCCTGCAGTGAAGCTGGATTTGCAGTCAGTTGCCACTTGTCATGAGTTGGTGGTACAGCTTATGAATGTGGCGTTCATACTACATGAACACTCGCATCCTGTTGCTGGATGTTGTAACAGTACCTCAGTGAAAAAAGCCATAAAGAAATGCCTGTTGACTTTAATCTACTGTGTGTATGCTTATATAGGAAGTATTTTTACTGCAAATAATCGTCCTTTGTAAAGTTTGTATTATTTGACTGTCAAATCTATTTTGAACCCTTAAATTCTAGAATACTCCAAGAATGGATGCAAGTCAAAATCAGTTACACTGAGAGGGTCAACATTGAATATTTACTCTATTCTTATACCAGTTTAGAAATCCGTGCTGGTAAACTGTTGCTTAATTACCTCAGCTCAGTGTAATTGGGGATATTAAACTAGGTTACTGATTATTTACTTCACACTGAGTTGTATTATAGCAAAAATTTATCAGCAGTTCTCTAAACATAAATTATAATATGTTAAAATAAATGTATTAATGGAGAAAAGGGGAGAGCTTTATATAACTATGCCAAACAGTTCCATACAGACCTAAGGAAAAACTTCTTTACTATAAGGGTGATGGAGCACTGGGACAGGCTGCCCAGAGAGGGTGTGGAGTCTCCTTCTCTGGAGATGGTCCAAACCTGCCTGGATGTCTTCCTGTGCAACCTGGTGTAGGGACCCTGCTTTGGCAGGGGGGTTGGACTGGATTGATCTCCAGAGGTCCCTTCCAACCCCCACCATTCTTTGATTCTGTGAAACTGAAGCTTCCCAACTCTTGATTGCCTTAAGTCTTAGTGTGAGGACAATACTTGAGTTTGTAGCATTTTATTTAAAAATACAATAGTACTTATGCTTTCTTCTTTTATACATATGATCTTACAGCTAGCAGTTGCTAGAATAGGCTGTCCAGCACATATCCTTCAGACTTTATGATTTAGTTCAAGTGACTCATGTATGCAATAATACTTTGCATGTTGAATGAGCAATGCATTTTTATGACAAAGAAATAGCTATAATTCTAAGGTCATTTGGGTTCAAGGATTCTTTTTAAACACTGTCATTAAAAAAAAAAATTAAATGGATTTTTCTATGCTTTTGATCAAACTGTTGTAATGTTTCAGTCATGAAGATTACATATTTATATTAAAGAACAGATGTTGGACATCTTATTTGTACATAAGTTATCAGAAGTTTATATAGAAGAGAAACATATATGTGGAATTGAACATGGGAACACTTCTAATGTAGATTAAATAGCATTGTTATTGGTTTTCTGCACTGTGGGGTTGGAAATGTACTTAATATTTTTACTCCAGGCTTCTGTTTATACCTCCAAGTTTTTACACTGAATGCAAGCTAGAAGCTTTACAATTTTGGGGTTTTTTTAATACTGTCATTTCTCTCTAGCGGGCTGTTTGGATAGCATCAATAAAATATACTTTGACATATTTGTCTTGAAATGAGAATATATGTTTAAGGTCATATTTTGCAAATTATGCTTTTAATCACAGCAAACTTGACAATCGGCAGTGACAAGGCTTTTTTAGTTACATGCTGGGTATTTACAGACACTTAGAGGGAGGCAGCTGTGCAGTTTTGACCTGGTTGTACTTACTGAAGAGGTGCTGTCAGCTGAGGAAAGAGGAAAGTTCAAGGCAGTGTGGTAGGATGACTATGGAAAGTCGCTGAAGTGGCCTAGAAAGTGTCTGCTGAATGTCAGTATTTGGGGCTTTATTAAATATTGTTTATGTTGGTCTTAGCAATGTACTTGTCTTCCCCCCTTTCAAGGGGAAATATTGTTCTTACAGTGTTAAAGTAAGCAACTTCTTGAAATCACTACTGTGAAGTATTTCTCAAACCAAATGTGTATTTAGCATGGATTGAGAGGTGGACACAGTAACCTGTAGCGTTCAAATTAAAAGCTTCAGATTTTTTTCCAGATATTACATACTACTAGTTTCTGTACAAAACCAGCACTAGTGCAAATCACACATTCAAAATCATGCCACTTTGGGTGTTTAATCTTAAAGAGAATGTTGCGAGCCTGCGACAGATTTGTTCTTGGAGTGACATACGGTAACAGCTTATGCAGCGGCTGTGAAGTGCTGGGTCACGTTGTAACATAAGGTGCGCCTCTGTCTCACCCACACCTTCTATAGATCAGTGCCTGCACTTTGACCAGTTGGCTTTGATTTAAGACTGTGTTCACTAGTGAAAATGTTCAGCTATTGATGTACTCTATGTTGGAATGTAAACGTGTTCTGCAAATGTACTTACAGCCAACTTGGCCTCCTCATCTCTTGCTCCAGTTAAAACTTCCCATTCGTGCTCAAAGCATGGAAACATAACTTCTTCAGGAGGCAGTAGAGTACTTTCTGCTCTAGATGTCTTATGCTGGATTAGTTTTGTCACACCAGAGGCTACCTTCATTCTAATCTTTGTCTTGAAACTTCATATGGAGTATTTACTGCCTGGTACTCTCTCGAAAAGAGATAGGTTTTGCATAAAACTCTAGAAATTATGTGGGATGGACTTCATTTTCTGGGACAGGGAGGAGATGGATTAGTGAACTCTGAGTCTAAAAAGAGCATTCTATATACAGAACTATATAGGCTTTTCCAGGTTGAATTCAGTGGTGGGAGGGGCAAAACCCTTGTCAGGGGCTCAGCTCCTTTATCTTGGTTTATAGTAAAGTTATCTTGTGACAAATGCTTTTTGTCAGCATTTGCAGAATGGCAGAACTCTTACATGGTGGAATAGTAGATTATCTTGGAAAGGAGTGGACACAGAAGGTGAGTCTACCTGATGTTTGAGCTGGAGAAACAATTTTGTGGGGAGGGCACCTCCACACTGAATACAAAAGCAGTAGAAATGGGGGTTGTGCGGGCTGTGTTAGAAGAACGTAGCAGAGGCTGAGTCACAGAGAGGCTTGCTTGGGAGGTAAGTTTGACTCAGCACTGAGAAAGTATTGATAGAGGACTGCTGACATCTTGGCAAGAGTTTGCATGGGCAAGGGATGCTTGATGCTGCCAGGTCTTGGACTACTATGAAACCTTGTCCTCATGTGGAAACCCTATGGAACAGTAAACACTGTTGCTCAACTGCAGCACGTTACTCCATTTCCAGCAAGCATTTGGTTTCTCGGTTATTTACTTTAGCAGTAAATAAAACAAAAGAGGTACATCCCTTAATGTTATGTCTGGATGCTTAAAGCAGGCAGGTAATATATACCAAGAAAGTGCATTTGTTAAAATATTTTTTTTTACTTTTTTTTTTTATTATTTTTTTGTGAACAGCAGAACTATGAGGACTGATTTCCCATGGAATTGTCTTGTCTGGCCATACCATGGTTCCCTCAACTTCATCCTTCTGGCATTTCCTACCCTTGCTCTTACCATAGCACCTTCAGTCTCCCTCCATCCATCTCTCTGTTATTGAGCCACGTGCTGTATGAGCAGTTAATAGCTTTGTCATTGCTACTGACTTTATGGGCAAGCCAAATTCTTGGTTCCTGGGGGACCAAGTAAATGGACATGATGTGATGTGGCCAGGCCATATTGTCTTCAGACTGCCTGTTGGAATCTAGTAACTTCTGAAATCTATTTCTGTCAAAAATGACCAGAATTATCTACTAGTTTCCAAAGTTTCGGTGCAGGTGACTGGAGAGGAAACTGATGAGCTGCGCTCTGTGTGGTTACTAAGCAAATCAGGGTGAGAGAATGAAATTAAAACCCCTGTAACTGCAGCTCAGGCGTGATTCAAATCTGTGTTTTTCAGGCTAAAAGCATGGCATTCCAAGATAGGAAAATGTGCTCATTCACAGTCAGATCAGGTATCCCATTTTTCTTGTAATGCAACTTTTTTTTTTTTCATTTATCTTGAGTAATGTAAATTTTTGTGTTCTGAAATAAACTTTTCATACACCATAGGAGCCAAATTTCAGGCTAGGGAACCATTGAGTTTCCTGGAAATCAACTGACATTTGTCTGACTTCTGAAAGGTCACTTATAATCCTTATTGTTCTTTTTATTCCCATCTGAAAAAGATTTCCAATTAAGAACAGCTAACACAGCTAGAATTAATGTATAGTTTTGCTAATTTAAGAGTGTAAATCTTAAGTATTTTATAAATACTAGTG